AAAACAAGCATCTGAAAGGGAATTTACTAATAAGTAATGGTTTATTTGAGAATTGATATTTTATTGTAAATATTTTATTACGAAAACTTCAAAAAACTAAGCCTTAGATCCAGGTGAGTGAATTGTTACTATATTCTGTACAATTCTGTACATTCTTCGTAATGAAAAATGTAAAAAAGTTGTAATCTAGAAGTTGGATATTACTCTAAATGTAACAAAAATTGCTATAAAATATCTTTGGCACATGCTATATCGGATCACATTTTCTTTAGCCCTCATTTCGCTTGATACAAAAGAAGTGATGGAGGTTTGTTTATTTTGATGAGTACTATTGTATCACACATGAAGCTTGTTTTTCGATGCAAAATAGTCTATTACAACGCATTTCTGATTTTTTGATTTTTTCAATAACGCTTGTTGCAATCTTCTATTCTTCATTAATCTAATGTTAGTAAAGAAGTGGCTAAGTATCGTGGGGCTTACAAAACGTGTGTTTCTCAAGAACACGTGCATAAACTCCAGAACGCTGACCATTGGATTTACAGAGGACACCTGCGTGCTGACGTTTTGACGGCTGATGCATTTTAAGGGCAATTCATCCAATTTCTGGCATTTAATCACAACAAAAAAGTAAATAAACTATAAGTAACATTTTATTGACACTTTACCCTAATAACAATAATTAATACCTCGTAAAAAATAAACAACATCAGAGAACAATATTTACACATGTGTATGAATATTTCTATTGCAATGTGCGATTACATACATAGCAAATGTCTTGTTTTTAACCTGCACCTGACATGGTTTACTTTTTGGTTGTTTATATTGTTTTTCTTTTATCATTTTTTCATTTCATGGCCGTCGATCCGGAGAGCTTAGATCGCTATGGCAGTAGTGTTGTGACGATCTCGGATCGAGGAACGCTGGTTCCCGTCTCGGACATGGATTTATTTGTGGTTGTCCCTTCATCCATCATCATCCTATCCCTTCATTAAAGAAGGAGTAATAATTCCCGACGCGAGCAGAAGGACCTTGCCCTTAATGGAATGTGCACTTGACTAATAATAAAAATTTAAAAAAAATCAAGAATATGAAAATGCCAACTTGTCTACTCATTCGAAATTTTTTTCTGTAAACAGTTCTGGAATTGTTTCCTCAATGACCTTTAAATCAATCTATTTTAAAAAGAATAAATTGTGGGGTCAATAATAATTATTGAATCATATTTATGTATGTAGTCAAATCATTTGATCGAGGGTACTTACACAATATTTTTGTAATATACAATGGATTCTGGAGGATTTTCCTGATCAGAGATCCATCAAAGGACAAAGTATTTAGTTGCACTTGCTTGCATGTTGATAAGCATAAAAACATTTTTTTGTGTGTATGTATGGGTGTTTGTGTTGCATATAGGTCATCATTATCGATCACAAAGCAAACTTTTTCCTCCGAATCTTTAGTTCTTCAAAATCAAATGGTCCATAAATCATCCAGACTTCTGAAACATAGTATAAAGCTCTTCTCTTAAATGAATTAAAGATACATTTTATTCAATGCCATTCAGATGTATCTTCATTTCTGTCCACACCTACAGTGGAAGGTCATCCAACATTTAAACAAAGAAATATTTTTAGTAATGAAATCGCAAAAAGCAGGTAGTTGAAACTCGTATTTGTTTACAAACTTGTAAAAAGTGATATTAAGCTATTGTGTTATTAAATAATAATCGAATTTATGTAAATACGTAAATTAAATAATAATCGAATCTATGTAAATACATATACATAATCTCTAGTCTTAGATACGATGACGTTTCATTCATACTTGTGGAAAACAGCATTATATGATCCAATTCGTTACTTTACAAAAGTGTTACGAAAATATTATTTTGGGGTGAACAAGCAATAAGGTAGTAGTTGCATCAATCGTAAGTGGAAAATTTTAAAAGTGGACGCAAAGCATCGTCATACTTCATATTCATCATCACTTTACGTAAGCAACTAGTGGAGTTGAAACAGCATGTACGTTCTCGCTCAAAATTTTCCGGAAAACTACGTGAAAAGAACTTCAATTTTCGAAAAATTATACATTACTTTATTTCAAGGGATACCTGAGGGGAAAGAGTACCATGACATGTGTCAAATTACCGATTTTTATTTTTATTGGCGAAAAAAATAGTTCAAACCTTTCTCTTTCCAAATATATCAACATTTTTCTTCTAACACGTCTGGAAGTACATTTAATTCGTATTTAAATGTCCTAGTGCGCATGAGCCACGCCCCCTTTTTTGACACTGCATACACATATGGCTAAGTTTCCGTAATTTTGAACGCACATTGTTAATGAGTTACTGAAACATGGTCTTGTTCATTCGTTGGTAGCATTGGTGTTTCCCGCTGAAGAAAATGAATCAGAATACTACGCTGATGATAATAAATATAGGATCAAGAATGTTGTAGAAGAGCAGCGGCGAGGGCAGCCTTTTTTGAAATGGCGTCTTCCGAAAATGTACTTATTTTGTAATTAATGTACATTTTCTCAGAAACTATTATTCACAATATATTGAAATTTACAGGATAAGTTGTCCATAGTATTGACAATAAATTGATATTTCTGTATGATGTTAATGTGTCTTAAATATTCTTCAATAATAAAAAATTTAAAACAATATTTGTTCAAAAATGCTGAAAAACCAAGGCTAAAGTTATAATTGAAAAAATACCAAATATGTTAATCAAGATAAAAACGTGTAAAAATATTATCAAATATGTTATCTTGAACTACGTGAAACATCAAAATTATGTAGTTAACCATTTTCTAGAAAAAGACATCAATTGTAGAAAATTAAACATGGGTGGTATACATGATAACCCCCCTTAAGGGACAATTCTCATTATGAGAATAAAAACTCTATCTCTAAAACTTGTAACAGTAGGAAGAGGACCAAAGCGTTTGAATTTTTGCAATTTTCGTAAAAATGAGAGTTTTCTAGCAAAATGACACCTGCGCTGTTCTCTAAAACGTTCTTTATACAATCCAATAACAAAATTTAATAAAGATTGAACTTTTCTTTTTGAAAATTAGAAAAATGTTCCAGACGCTTCATGTCAAGTATTCCTCAAAATCAAGATATTGCTTTCAAATTCAAGAAGTCGTGACATAATTTCTCCGTAATATCAATTTCGGAGAAAGTAGGCTGAATGGTTTAGTGGCTAGTGTTGTTCACTGACTGACAGACATACGGACAAATATGTTTTGCAGCCCTTCGATTTTTCGGTATCAGGTGATACCGAATATATGAATTCTGACTACACAACTAATTATAGAAACACGATTTATCCACTTTTCCGTTACCAGGGCCGTTATCATCGCTAACATCAAAACTATTCAACCGATTTTCGCAACAGTTGATATTCCCCGGTTCATTTAAATTAATTCGAAGCCCTCTGAGGTTGATTGTAATGAAATTGAGGGGGTATTTGTTTTAGTCTCAACATTTTCAGTTTTCTCAAAAACAAAAAAAATTGACAATGCAATGTGTTGGTAAAAGTAATTTACTGTATACAGGACCATTTGTACATTTGGATGACAAGGGTCCTGTAATAAGAGTTTTCTCTCAAACATCCCGCCGCACGGTTACAATACTTTCACTTTTTACGTAGCAAGGTAGAGAAAATAAAAAAGTTTTCTCCAAATCTTTCCAATTTTGTTCTTTATTCTTTTTTTCGTGGAAAAAAGAAAGGGCGCTTAAAATAATTGTGAAGGTCTCGTGTTCATTGATCTCTGCGAATTTTCGGAAATTGTTTGTTGAAAATAATTGGTGGGGCAATTATGTTTTTAAGCGTCGGCCCTAGTTGGTGGCGACGATGGTGTAACGGTTAGCGTACTGGACTGTTGTACCCATGCTGGCGGGTTCAAACCCGATTGAAGCCGTGAATTTTCAAGAGATTAAGGATCTTAAGGGGATTAAGGGCGAAAAAATCCTTCGAAGGGGAAGTAAAGCCGTTCGTTGATTTACTTGCATTAGATCCTCAAGCCTAAATGACGCCTCTAAGCTAAATTCTAAATCGCCTGCTTCTCGCCCAAGAAATACCTTCTTTCTCTGCTAGATGAAAGGAGCGTAGCGAAATTTGCGTGGTCAGACGGAAGAGCGAGCCTAATTTACTGTAGTTCTTTTTGTTCAACTTATGTTAATGCTTGAATTTTCTCCTTTTTGCAAGAGACCCACTGAGGATGGGATAAGTGTTTCCCGAAAGTTAACTCTGGGTAATAATTAATAAAATTATTAAACTTTTTGTGGACGATTATTACCTTTACCATATTATGTTGCGGCAATACTAAGCATTTAACATGTCAAAAATTCACATTTCATATTTTGGTTTATTATGTGTGTCATTGAAAGTACTTCAAGGAGTACTCAATTTTCTGTCAATGATCAGAATGTCAATTTTCAGAATTATAATTGAAATGAATGAAGTACATAAATGTTCTTGTCAAACTGATTCCAATTAAGTTTGAAGTAGAGAAAGGTGGAAATACCGAAACAACAGATACCGAAACAACAAATAAAATGAAATATTTGTGATAACTGTGAAACATTGGGAACGATTTAAAAAAATAAAATAAAACTCTTTAAATATCTGACATATAAGTATCATTAATATTAGACACTTGTGTTATTAACCCTTATGATAATACAAATGCTTTCAGATTAATAATGCAAACGTCCTACATCACTCAATGAAATCGCTGCTGAACTTGGAAATCTCAGCGGCGTGTTGTGTAAAGAGAGAACACTTCGTTAACATTCAGAACTGAAGAATTCTGTAGGTGAGACTGATGTTAAACAGAGATCTACTGTCGAAAGAGCTATTGTCAGCTAAATAAAGAGCTTTACGTATGCTAAATAATTAACTTTGCTCAACATCTGGAAAGCCAAAGATTTGCAGTAGTATCTGCGGATTGTCGCTGAGAACCGTACGAGACTGAGGAAGATGGACGCTCGGGACGAGAAATTGCCGAATGAAGATCTTCTTGAGAAATTGAGCAAATTAATGCGTAGAGAATCGACAAAACATAAGAGAGCATCTTTCCACGAAGGAGTGGCGTTATCAGACGACGAACAGAGAGACGCAGAACACGATCGCCAACGTAGAACCTCGGGACACAAAGAAGTGCCCAGGATGGAGGAAAGAAGGCCGTCGATCGATCGCCATGGCCGCAGGTCGTCGATTGACAAAAAAATTGCCAGAATACCGATAGAAATGCGATCGCGTAAGGTTTCAATTGATTTGCGGGCTCTGGACGACGCCGCCAAGCAGGAAAGCCAATCTGACACGCAACGCGATGCTCGAGAACGGCCGTCGCCAACACAGGCAGACAGATCTCCTGACAAAGATGTTGATCAGAGAGCAACTGACCACAGTGCAAGTCACCGAAATTCTCTGAAATCTCACTCGCAAGAAACTCTCCTCGGAAAAGGTGGATCGCTGACTGACATCACCGTTGTACGCAGCCTTTCCCAGTTGAGCGCTCATATTAGAAGGCTGGAAGCGGAAGAGGCTCCTAAACAGGTTAGTTTTATTTATTTACTATTTTTTATTTGCAGTGAGAAAGAGTTCAGTTCTGCGTGTGACATGTGATTGAGAAGTAGAATTAGAATGGAGGTCTTGGAAAAGAATCCGGGACACGTCCGTGTTTAATTAATCGATTTTATTTGTTTATATTTATTTATTTATTTATTTACTTATTTATTTATTTATTTATTTATTTATTTATGTTTTGTACATTTCAAACAATTTGTAAAGACTATAGTTTTTTTACAATATTTACAATAGCGTTTAAACGCCACTTTCTTAAAATTGGCTCCAAATTAAAAAAAATTGCAATTTCGGTCGAGGTTGTACTGTTATTTAATATTCATAAAATAATATTTACATTCTACTATTAGAAAACCGAAAAAATAAGAAATTTAAAAAAAAATATACTTTGGCGGCGATAGATGGCAGCTGCGAAGAGTATGTGACAAGTTCGTATAGCTAGCAAAGACCAAAGGAAATAAAAAAACTAATACGTAAAAGTCTGTACCATTCTGTAACACCACTACTTTTCCCTGTACTTCTACTATTTATCTCTCAATGGACGTTAAAGTATTTTACGCTCTCCCATAAAATACATTTAATCTTCATAGTACGATCTAAAGAACGTAGTTTCAAAAATAAACGTTGGATGACGCTGTCAGCAAGCAGAAATGTGCATCCCCACCAACCTCTCGGGCAAGGCATTTTCGACGCGAAACTGAATGGTTCTTCAAGTGTACATGTTTTATCAGAGTAGGGGGAGTGGGGTACATAATCTTGTGAAGACGTCGTAGACATGATGTGACCTAAACATTTGCTGGCTGCTTAATGCACTAGTGAAGTTCTTCATAGGCCCCCCTCAAGTGTTTGTAGTGATATCGTTTTTTAATAGTAACTTTGTTTTGTGTATGAGAACTTAAATATGCCACGAAAGCATTCGGATAATTTCTATTATGTATGTGGTGTTGTCATTTCGCTAGAAAAGAAGGAACTTCACTCCTCTTGTTGTAGATATTCGCATCTTTAGTTTAGTTGTATAGTAGAGGATCAGGACAAGACTTGTGTCAGTTGTTTTACTTGTGTAAGGCATTTAACAGGGTGAACAAACGGTTCTCGTCATGGCTACGGAAGTGCCATTTGCAATTTCCATGGTGTGGAGAGACGAAGGTCATTCTTTGAACTGTTATTTTTTGTAAAATACGGTTGTTTAAACTAAAAGAGTCAAAGCATTCTTTAAAGTATCCCAACATACCTTGAGCAATCCGACTTGTTCCACTCAGTGAAGATTTCCCAACACCACCTCACTCAAAATCTATCGATTAAATCGAATACTCCAATTGAGAAGAGAATTGAGTAATGGTCACGATGACGATCAGCACCATCCAAGTTTTGCGGTATCTAATAAGCCTAATTTATTAAGACAAGTATATATGAATAATTAAGCACGTGATCTAAATTTACCAAAGAAAGACGCAATACAGTTGGGGCCACCACTAGAAGGGCGTAACGTTTTCCATCTGGAAAATAGGGTATGCTATTTTCGAAATCGACAAGTGACACACGAAGACTTTTTTTCTCAAGGTGATGTAGTGTACGGTAATAACATTTCATCAGTTCTAGACTCTAGGACATACTCATAAACCAGAGGAATGGGGTATGTTTGGGATTCCTTAAAAGTTAGCTTAAAAACCTATTAGCTATAAATAGGAATAAATTGCCATCAGGTCCACTTGATGGATTTTGTGAAAGCTTTGGATAGACATGGAAGAGGCTTTTTCTATTGAAAGAGAAGTTTCCGAAAGTTAGTGTTGCGATAATTAAAGAGAACTTTGTTGGATCACAAATAAGAAAACTAGTAAAAGATTCAAATTTAAAGATTTAATTATTTTAATAAATGTGTAAGGATTTCCATAAAGAAATTTATTCAACACTTTTTAGGCAATAAAAAATCTTAAACCTATAGGGAAAAAGTAAAGCAGTTACTTAATAATATGAAGGTTTGTCCTCTAATGTGTCTCTTAAGATTCACTTTCCTTACTCTTACTTGGATGTCATTCCCAAACATTTGGGGGCTGTTAGCAACGAACACGGAGAGCTCTTCCATTGAAATATTGCAACCACGGGAAAACGGGCCAATAAGGGTGGAGTTTAGGTATGTTGGCAGATTACTGCAGCACTCTCAAAGGAGATGGCCCTGAGGCAAAATAAATTAAGGACGTCATTAAATTAAGACCTTTTTGGTATGCTGAACATTTTAAACTTCTTTAGTGTTAATGCAAGGACTGTAAAAAGTTTATTAAACTGTCACAAAAAAACGTACGTGATAGATCAAATAAATTGCTTTCCTTTTTGAATTCAACATTCATTTTCATATAAAACCAATCAATAAAGCTCTTGTGGAATAAAAAAGTTTAATTTTGTAGACCAGTTTTATTTACTAAAATTATTGACTAAACCAATGATTGTAAGATCCATTGAGTGGAATGGCCGCCAGCCTAATTGGTGTGGCGTCGTTGGCTAGACGCGCGCGACGGCGTCCTTCGACGTGCGGCGGCCGTCGGGCGAGGGGTACCGCGGCGCGCCGCCGGAGGCGCTGGCGGCGGGGCGCGGGCCGCAGACGCCGCGGCCAGCGGCGCGTGGGCCGCTACAGCGCCGCCTCACGCCGCCGGTGGTGCTGCTGACCGGGCAGGAGGGCACGTTCGAGGCCGTGTTCCCGCAAGTGGTGAAGGACCGCACGCGGCCCGACAGCCCCGACGGCTCCAGCCGCGTCTGCCGCGGCCTGCGCTTCTCGCCCGCCGCCATCGTCTTCAAGAACGTGTTCAAGGGCGAGCGCCGCGCGCTGCGCTTCGTGCTGCAGAACGTGTCCGAGCGGCCCATCTGCATCTCCGTGCTCGATTCCTCCTCGGTGGTGAGCCTGCACACCAGCCATTTACTCCTCTACTGCTTTGTACGCAATTGCTCCACGCTGGTAATGTTTCCCTGGAGCTAAGTTCGTTATTATCTAAAGAGTAGAGCGGGGAATGTCATATGTTTTTTATCAACGTTCCCAATCTGGATCTCCATGCTCGACTCCTGGGTGGGGAATCTACTTCTGCTTCACATGAAACAGGTCTACAGGAGCACACTGTCAATAATACTAATCTGCTTCCTTATTAGAATGCGTTATCACAAGTGTAATTAAAAATTATAAATTTACGTAATTATAAATATGGACGACAGCAACAATGGGGGTATAGATAAGAAATCGAAGTGAGCTTTATTTTGAAAACAATACAAGGAAACAACAACAGAATTGACCATCATAATTATGAAAATAATAATATATTAACAAATAATGCAGTGAAAGAACATGTGAGCAAGTTCCGTGGGGCAGAACATAAATTAAGAAGTTATTACGAGCAATAAACCGACGAATAAACAGATATGTTGAAATGTGTGTGACCAATCAGGAGTTGGATCGTGTGAGAAGGATCGACGCGCGAGAAACGAAGAAGAGACGTGTTTGAGCATACTTTCGCGTTGATGAGACACAGATGAAGGGCGCGCGAGGTAAAAAAAATAGGGCAGACGATGTTTGGACACGGTGTGAGTCACATGTAAAAGGGACAGCGGCTTGGATGCGGAAAGAATTAGACTAAGTTGTAAGTTTGGCGATGTTTCAAGATAGTAAATGTACAATTAGATGGGAAATATAATTACGTGTGTGGAGGACACGAACATCATTGGAGTGGACCGAATTCTTTGAAAATGGAGGCTGAATGGAAGCTGGACGACGTTCAAGATTGCAGAGTATCTCCAAAAGGAAAGTAGCAAAATGCGGAACATTTATTTTTATTTGTATTTGCAATTGTAGGAAGACAAAGTTTTGCAGTTTTAAGTAAAGCTTCTAAATTAATGATAACGAAGGAATTTGATCATTCATGCTAAGAGGGAGGGATTTGTAGCGAGTATTATAAAATAAGAAGAGAATTCATGAAAGAAAGATAGTGTTTACGAAAATTGTTATTGTTGTTATTTTCAAATATATTTGTGTGAATATGTATTTCACATATTTCACAGCGTAATACATAATGAAATGTCAATAACTGAAGTAAATATTATTATTTATAAGCAAAGAACAAAGAGAGTTCCAAATCTTAGGAAACAAACAAATTACTTTACGTAAATGTTTTGGTACCGAGTATCTGTATAGACGGCCTATCAGACGTATCAGCTCACCCATATTAATTTTCTTCATGACTGAGCAATCTTGGGATAACCTTTGGCCGGGTGAAATGTGGCCGGTGAAGTGTGAAAATTGAAACAATAAATTCAGGAGAATAATTAAACAAAAGCGGTCCCCAGTCAGATTATTCACAACTTTTTCTCTGGAGGGAATGTTATCTTGGATCTCTGAGCTTTGATAATATCTGAATAGTAGATCAGGGAGTGTCATTTGTCTCCTATCAATGTTTCCAATCTGCATATCCTTGCTTGAGTCTTCCTCAGAGGTGATTCTTCTTCGGGTTCAAGGGATTAGGTATAGATCAGCGCACCGTCAATAATACTAATCTGCTACGTTATGCCATCTTGTACTCTAGAGGTAACGTTACCTTAGAGTTATGTTCGTTGAATATATTGAAGAGTAGAGCTGGGTGTCATTTTCCTGTCAATGTCTCCAAGTAAAATTGCCATGTTTAATCCTTCACGGTGGTGAGCCTTCTTTGATATGGTTGGGATTTCTATTTTCATCTTCGGCATTAAGTTTTACTCCGTAATATTTCTTCTGCGGTGGTTAGAAATTTATCTTGAATGAGTAGACCTAGACAGTCTCATGCGTTTCGTTTGCATCTCCGTGCTCGTCGCCATTGCATAGAGCCTGCTGTAGGAGCCTGCTACGGTGGTCGAGAAAGGATCCAGGTGTTGGTGTAATGAAATGAAATTCACTGGTTTTCGTGTGCGTTCTTTGTCATAAACTCTTCAGTGGTAAAAATGCTTCCGCGGTTGCTTGATAGAATTTGCCCTCAGTGAGTAAACAAGACGAAGCCATATGTTTCCAGTCAGTTTTTCATCTGCTTCTCCACTGCTGTGGAGTCACCCTTTCTTTGGGTTTCATGGGAATGGATATTGAAGAGGCTCTAAGATCCATGTTCCCGTTATGTCTTCCTTGTCTCCACGAGTTCCGGAGCGAAGTTCACAAATTTATCTTCAGAGTGAGGAGTAGGGAAATGTCCAAACATTCTCGAATTTACGCCTAATTCTATATTTCAATTCTCGACTTCTCCTGGGACATTAGTTACTCATTTACTTGTTTGTCCTCAATACTTCGGTATTAATAATGTGTCTCAAAGTATTTTCGTTGGAAATTTATTTTGAGGGTGTTGTGAATGGCAGTGTTAAACGTTTTGCCACAATATGTCCCACCTCCATATTCTGTTCATTCCTCCTCCATTTGTGAACAGTTTTTGGGTTTGTAGAGAATGGAGCCATACCATGACTTCATTACTGTTATCCATTTCCTTTTTTCTCAATTTTTTTCGCGATGGAGTTTTTCTTAAACATTTATCTTGAGGCAACCTGTGTCAAAAAAGTCCTGTCATTGTTTTCCTCTCCGACTGCACCTCTGTTCAATACCTCCACGATGTGCATGCTGTACCTTGAGATAAGATACGAGCGATAACACCATAAGAAAAAGTGCCCTGGTTGTTAAATGTCCGCACCATTGCATCTCTTGAACATCGGGTTACGGTTAATCACTCACTATGTAAAGTTGCGGGTTCTCGTTAACGCGATCCGTCAACATCCGTTCACAACAGAGTGGTTAAGTTCTCTGCGGTCATTGAGAATTGGCCTGAAAGTAATATAGTGTTAGAAAATAAAATGTATGTACCTCATCCATAATGTGTGTGTGTTTTGGGACAATTTTGAAACATGTCTCATCTGTATATCTGTGGTTGACTTCTTGATGATCATCATACTTAGGTCTGTTCGGGCTGGGGAGGCAATGTCAAATATTTCTCATCAATGATTCCAATCAATATCTCCTTCCTTTTTATAAGCTTAACTTACATAATACAGATATGCCGAAAACCTCTGATTCACTTTTTTAACTAAAAGTGCTACAGAATGGCACAGACCTCGTACAACTTACTTTCCTGTTGTGTAGATTCTGGGCCAGCTTTTATGCGGTGCTTCTTCCTAGCAACTACCTGTGCCCACTAAGGCCTCTTTGGGGTACTTACCGCCCCTCTAGGGGCACTCGCAGTAAGGAGCACCTGCGCAATGCCCGAACAGTACACAGGCCCATGATCTGTACACAATCTCATGATCTGCCCGTACCACGAGACTTTCACGTGGTATGGGCATTGCGTTCATCCACGTAATAGACAGTCTTCATTTTCTTTAGTTGACGACTTGCTTGATATCCTACATTTGATGGACTTGCGCGAAGATCATCTTGATAACCTTTTTTAAATACGCCATTCTATCCATCTACTTTGGATTATTTTTTTCAGGTGCAGGAATCATCCACTTGACTCACTAGCGCGGGTTTTGTCGATTTATACGGAGTATCTCGATTTATTTATCTAATTTTTATTTTAGATATTTAACATGGTCGACTTCTATTTCATTCACCACTTGATCAACTTTCGTGTGATACTTGACTAGTTGGGCTTCACGAATTAGATTCTTGTATTCTTCACTCGATTAACTTGATCTAGATTCTGTGTTAGGTGTGCTGAAGATTTATTACATGATCGACACGCTGGAGATCATTTATTAAAACCCTTTTTACTCTTCTCTACTTGGTAGCCTTGCTTGAAGTTTTCAATTCGATCCTTCATATCCCCTACATGCTATTTGCGCTTTTTAGTATCGTTTAAAAATAGAAAGGCCAAATGGTGACAGGTGATGCCTTGATAGATAGGTGCTTGGGGAAGACCAGTACAAGAGCGAGGACACTAAGGTTGTGGATTCAAACACGTGCAAGGCATCAATGGTTTCAGTGGTGACCGTGAAGAGTCCCTTATGTCATAGTCCGTAATCATTTGGTCTGTAGGTAAATGTGTTTGATATGTTAAAGCAGTCCGTGTGTGTAGTTCAGGAATCGAATCTCCCCAGAATCATTGTAAAAGCACCAAAGTGAGATCAAGGGCTACAATACACATGTACAGTTAAAAGTCCGAGAAATGTCAATACAATGTTTGGGGAGTGCAAAGGTACTCGTTAGTTGAAATGTTCTCAGAGGAGCACCAAATTCCGCGAAAGACCTTGTAGACCTTTCTGGTATCAATAAATACCAGCTAGCAATAGAGTGGGACAAATACGAAAAGCTAACCCAGACACAAAACGATTTGCAACCAACTATTAAAAAGAGTCCGTGTCCTTCTGCAGCACCATCAATTTAAAAATTTGGTAATTCGACGTTATTAGGACTTTGTATAGGTTTTCCTCAAGTACTTATCAACCAAGGCATCATCTGTTATCATTTGGCCTTTCTATTTTTATACGATACTAAAAGGAGCATGTAGCATGTAGTGGATACGAAGGATCGAATTGAAGATTTCAAAGTTATTAGGACCTAGGAAAAATTTTGTAACATTATTCTCTAAATTGATTTACACCATGGTTTCAAGAGTTACATACCATTTATTTATCAACAATCTTTGCAGTAAACGCCATACATATTTATACCAAGAGAAGGGTTTATATGTATTCAAGTGATAATTATTTATCACTTCAATGGATTCGTTTGTTTTGAGTTAATCAAAACACTAGAATGAAACGTTTATTTTTATATAGTTTTAACTCTTTTCAAAGAATGGAGCTCATTATGATTTTCAATGTGATAGGTCAGAATGTAAATTTCACCTAGTAGCGACAAACAGTTGCTTTCTTAAGATTTAAGTTTTATGAGAATTGACTTTT